ACGAATTACAATTCCCAGATTTTCATTTAGTATCATTTCTGTGAACTAGTTGCAGCATTTTGTTTGAAGAGCCAGCAATTATTTAAGAACCAGTAATCCTGAAAAAGTTTCTCTTGGTTGAAGTCAGTAAAGTTCTTCTTAGTATATATATTTACTAACCAGCTGGAAAAACATAGATTTTTCGGATTTTTTATTCAATAAATTCACGTTCATTCTGAACCAAAAGTAATCTAAGCATGAAATGGATGAATTAGTAAAATCTCAGTTCACAAATAAAAGCTTAACATATACATATATATCCATTAGATGTTGGATAGATTGCCTTGCTTTTGAATAACAGTTTCGATTTGTTTTATGAAAAAGCCAGCAAATATTTACAATATTTTAAAATGGTTGAGAGCGGGTATTTAAGTTAAGAAATAATTTTTCAATGCCTCTAAAAATGTGCGAACCAGTTGAAAATGAGACTTTGCAACCAAAATACCCTTGCCTTGAAAAGTTTACAATGAAAGTTAAGCCAACTGGCTTTTCATTATTCAAATAAATGTTCGTGAACTAGTTCTTTTGTAATTTATACAATAACAATTGAAGTGTTTCATTAGAAGTACAGTGCAGAGTGCAATTGGTTCTTTGAGCCAGTTCGCGTTGAAGCGACACAAGTGTTTGGCCAAAGAGGTTGTGGCAAGAGCTAGTTGAGGTTGCGGATTGAGGTTTGTGGCTGAGGTTTTGTGCAGGAATTGCGTCGCTTGGATTTCAAGTGCTGCTGCTGCCACTTGTTGTTGTTGCTTCTGCTGTTGTTGTTGTTGTTGCTGTTGTTGTTGCTGTTGTTGTTGCTGTTGTTGTTGTTGCTGTTGTTGCAGCGCACATGCTACACAGAAAAGTTGAAGGCATTCGACAAACAAAACTGCGGCCCATAGTTGCTGGCAGGCAAGGCAGTCAAGTATAGCAGAATTTTTCACTGAACCCTAAACGAGTGAGGAACACACACATACATACACACACACATACACACATATACACCCGCACATACGGGACGCATTGTGAAGTGCAAAAAAGGCGCATTTTACAAGATTTTTATTACATATAAATGTGAAAAGTATTAAAAAAGTAAACTTTTTTATAGACTTTTCATTTTCTCTCGCTTTGGCCCCCGCAAGTATAAATACAAATGTCGACGAGTGTGTGTGTGTGTGTGTGTGTGTGAAAAGTAAAAGAAGTTTTACGCTTTTCGTCTGGGCGTCATGATGCGTGTTAAGGGAGTACAGCCCCTCCTCACCCCTCCCCTCCACATACCTAAACAAGCGTGTAGACCCACACATTGGCCACTCCATGGAAGTAGCATTGCGGAAATGCTGCCACGCTCTCTTCGCGCCAAAGAAAGCAGAAAACTTTTTGTGCCCTGTACTCACAATCGGCCACTTGGTTTACAAATATGGTTTGCTGCGATTCGATGTGACCGATTTTGAAGGATGTGGAGGAAAATCGGTTCAAATCGGCCAATAATATCAGAGTAAACAGAAGCTATATAAAAAGTCGTTCACTTCGGAGTTGAGTTTTATTGCAAAAGCTTGAATTATTTTTAAACCTTCAATGAAAAACAAGATATGTAAAAAATTTGCGAAACATCCTAGCAACCTAGAACAGTTTTCAACGCTCTATGTAAATAAAGGTGTTGAGCCAGAAGAGTGAAGAGAAATTAGTAACGAAAAGGAATAACATGCAAAAGTAAAAGTGTAAAGAAAAATAGTTTCAATAATTGAGAAGTTCCACAGAAAAAGAGTATTGACTATTAAAAGTGTAAAGAAAGCAATAGCTGTGGATGATGATATCCCCAGCCTCAAAATCTCCAGAAATTAATAACCGATCATAATGATTTAAGGTGGAAAAGAATTGAGAAGGATTTTGTATTTCTGTAGAGGCCTATAAGCTAATAAGTAGTATGTCTTTCGATAATAAACTAAGCCTAAACCTTCTTCAAAAACATCATAACTCCATAGATTATATTCTGTGCTATTAACCTTAGGCTATGATTATGGTGCTCTTATTTGGTGATATGCGTAAATATGTAAGTTCTTGAAACTCAATGTAATTCGTATTCTTCAAAATTCGGAAAGAGATTATAGTATATATATAGAAAATAATGTAATGTGCATTCTTAAAAATCTCAATAAAATAATCGTTCGAAATATAAATAACAACATAAGAAATCGTTAAACTAAAGATTGACATCGCATGGATATAAACCTTTTACGCATACAAAATCGACTTGCTAGTCAGCATCTGACGTTTAGAATCTGATGCATGGACATCTGACCCTAAGACAGAGCGTCTTGTGGAAAATCTACAAGATTAAAACATTTTGTAAGGAAATAATTCGTAGGAACTGCAAAGGCCGATCCGTTTAAGGAATACTTTTTAGCAGCTGCAATTTATAGTCTCCACACGTCACCAATAACTTATGTAGCTGCTGCTTCTGCTGCTGGGAACTAATTAAGGACAGCTGCTTTGCATTTCTATTACTGGGATGCCCATATAGCGGGCCAGGAGGGCGACCAGACTCGGCTAGAACGAGGCTCTGTATACTCGTATGTTTCTTTTGGTCCTCACTCCTTTTGGGTTTTGTGATTGTTGCCATTGCTGGCAATGTTGTTGTTGCTGCTACTGCTGCTGTAACTGTTGTTAAAAATGTTTTTAGACCTTTAGAGTTGATGTTGTTGCTGCTGCTGCTGCTGCTTCTGCTTCTGCTGCTGCTGCTGGGCTTTTATATTTTTCTTAACAATTTGTGCAGGCAACGCAAACGTTGGTCGCAGAGTGTTGTGTGTTCTGTGGTGTGTGGTGGATGGTGGATGGGGAAATGGTGTCGCAAATCCAAACATTGAAGCACCCACACGCCCGCACACTTTTTAAATTTTATTTTATTACTATAACAAGACATAAGTAGGCATAATGGAGCTCTATAAAATATTCAAAAGAAATTGGCATAGAAAGTTTTTGCAGGCGCGGTCGTCGGGCTTAGGCGAGTCAAGGGGATTTCTCTTCTCTGCCATTCATATGAGCCTAAAGGACTCGACGGCTGGCAGGGATGTTGTGATTGTTGTTGTTGTGGCATAGCATTTGCATAGAATTGCCGCGTGTTAAGCGATTAACGGCATTTTTATTGAGCGTCTGCTAAGGTTAATGCACTCCAAACTTGAATGGAGTCGAGATAGGAGGACTGGCACGACTGCGAGTATTCGGATGGGAAGGGAAGGGAAGGGAAGGCAGGGTAGCCAGAACGAGGAGGAGTTGAGTCAAGTCAGTCGAGTGCTGCTCAAGCAACTTCCTTGAGTGCGTCAATTTAACAACATTTTACACTTTAGAGGCAAGATTTTTTTCTTGCCTCTCCACTCTACGCCTCTTCAACTTTCCTTTTTCCTGCTGCTCCTGCTCCTGCTCCTGCTCCCACTCCTACTCCTTACTCTTCTTACTTTTTAGTTGCAATGCAATTTTGATGTTTGGCGTATCGGGCTCTCTGGATACAAAGTTTCCAAACGCCAGTATGTGTGTGTGGGCCAAGTTCTAAGGTGCTGTGATTGCGATTTCGACTGCCATTGAGCCAGGTCGAGTGGCTAATTTGTTGGCTCACTCACCGCTCAACCACTGCTCCCATCACCCATTCAGCCGCTCAAGTGCTTACTGTCAATCATTTTCACAAGCGATTTGTCACACAAGTCAAGTCGACTCGACTCGAGTCGAGTCGAGTTGAGTCGAGCCCAGTCGAGTCAATAAATGTGCCAGGATCTGGCAAATTTGCCAACTTCAGCGAGTTTTTCTTTTCACTTTTATGGTTGACAAGGGGTCGCGCCTCCGACTTCGGCGCTGGTATTAGCGGCATTAAAGAAAATTTGCTTACCAGCAAAAGTTGATGGGCCTAAGCCAAAAAGTTGTGGGCTTAGCGGGCACAAGACAGCGATTTCCCTCACTGTAGGCTGTACGCCAGAGCGAATGAAAGGGAAACTATTTGTGCCGGATTTTGATTAAATGGCTTGGAAAATATGTTGCAACTCCCATCCATATTGTAGCTTATAAATAATGCAGTTGGATCAATGCGATAAAATATGACAAATACAATAAATATTTGTTGCCAAAGGGCTGTGACAAAGAGCTTCAAAGACATTTCTTTTAAGGCAAAACGGACCAACTTAAAGGCTTTTGTACCAATTTCTATCCCAACTATTTACATTTCTAACTAGTCCTACTTAGAACTATTATATATTTCCTTCTATGTTGTCGTTTAATCTTTGTTTCTCGGTAGTTATTTACAAATGTTTATAACGGATTCATAGTTGTTGCTAGATCTAAAAAGGTCTTTGACTATTTTTGACTTTAAATCGAGGCTAAGCAAATAAGTCGCTTTACTTACGAGTACTTAGCAGATCAGGAGATATAGCATTAAGCTATGTTTATTGCTTCTTTTGAATAAACCCCCATTGAAGACTAAGTCCATTTGTGTAAAACTATTAGTGTCGAATAAAATATTTTAAAGACTGCAGTGAGAGCGAAGAATCCGAACTAACGACCAGTGGCTGAACAAAGACTTTCCTGACACATCAATTTTTTCAAAACAAAACCAATACTAAAAGTATAACTAAGCCAGCACTACTTGTAATTAAAACTAATTATCGTTAAAGATCATACATAAAATATATATTTAATGTATGAAAACACAAAACACAAAAGGAAACTGAATTAAATACCAGCTTTCTTCAAGTTCTGAAAGGTATTTTTTGGGATTGGGATTGGGTTCCTTCAAATAGACCGTAAATTGTGGTCGCAAAGCTGTTGTTTTGGACATAAAATAAAAGAGAAACCAAGGACTTTTTGAACAAACCATCAGTCCTAAGAGTTCCCCTGCTGGAAGGTGAAGTTCTCAAACTGATTTCAGAACATTTCTAATTAATTTCTTATTTGCTAAATGATATCTATAAATATGCGAGCGAAAATCAAGAAAGGAGGGAACATTTGAAAAGATGATTTGTCTTTTACGCTTTATTGAAAAAAAAAATCTAAACATAGGTCGCATCTAGTAACTAACTACTTTAGGCTGGAGGCAGTTTCTTTTTTAGGACGCGGAGACGTGAATAGATGATATCCCAATCCAAATAGGCGCCCACAATGTACCGTGAATTCTCTTCGGTGTCATCGTAGCCGGTCCGGCCATGAAGCAGCCGTATATTGTTGAAGGTCAGCACATCACCCGGTTGGGTCTTGAAGGAGTGCGCATCGGCGCGAGCCATTCTCACAAAGCGGGCGTAGGACTCATACCAGGGCAGCACCTGGTCGAGGGGCACATTGAAGTGACTGTCGCGCTGTGGAACGCTGTGATTGATGCGCGTGTAACGGCCATCGCCGTCCAAACTAATCGTGAGAAGAAACAGGGATAGAAAGAGGATAGGGATATGTTATTGCGTACGGCCATAAAATAATCATGGATCAGTAATGCAACGAAACGGCTTGGAAATGAAAAGAAAACCAAAGTCTTCATTGAACCCGACTGAGATTAAATTTGTTCAATTAAAGAAGGAAATTTATAAAATTCTACAGAAATAGAAATAGTTTTGAGAAATGTATATAATCTTGAAATATCGAATTTGAATTTGTCCAACTTGTGTTTGAAATAAGACTTTCGTGTTCAGTTTCCAAGCTCGGGATTTTTGATATGTTCTTGTTGCTTACCAGATGACGGGCGATCGCCAGATATTGTGAAACTCGCGTCCATCCTCACTGCCAATATCGTTCCAGTCAACGGGTGTCTCCTTCAGGCGCTCAAAGTCCTCGGGGTGTTCGGCGCGCAGACGATCGGCAATGTGGAAGGCGTCCACCAAAAGATTGCTGCCACCGCGCGACTCCGTCTGCACCATGCAGTGCAAAATGTTGACACTCGGCTTGTACTCGTAGTAGGGCAGATCGGTGTGGAGTGGCAATGGATCGGATAGATAGGCAAAGTTCTTGGCACCCGGCTTGGCCTGCACAATGAACTCCTCGCCGTAGGTGGTGCGCCGAATGAAGCCCACCCGCTCGGCCAGTTGGCGCACCACACCCTTGTCTATGGGCGCGCCACCAATCAGGGCCACTCCATAGACGGCCAGTGCTTGCAGCCAATCCCGCAGAGCTCTGTCATCGTGCATCACATCGCCATAGTCGAAACGTTGGGCGACGTGCTCGAAGTCCGCTCCGCGCCAATGGTGTGTGCGCGGCCTATAGAAGTCGTCCAGATAGTTGCGCTGTCGCTGATCCTTGAAGCTGCGCTCTCTCAGCCACTGCAGCGAGTAGCTACTCACATGGCTGTCACTCCAGCGGACGTGAATCTCCTGAGTGTCGGCATCTGTGTGCAGATGTTGGGGTCGCACGCTCGCATCAAAGTTATCCCAGTCGAGGCGACGGGACTGCGAGCTGGCATGAAAGCACTCGGAGCAGCTACAATTGTCCCGCAGCCAAACGCCTGGATATGTGAGCGATTCCGATCCGGCAGATCCCTCAGACTCCGGCTGCACCACAATGAACGAATCGTTCACAATGCGAGCACTGATCGCTCGGAGCTGTGTCGAGGCTACGGCTGCGCGCAGCTGCTTCAGCTGAGGGCCCCACTTTAGGCAGAAACGTGGCGTCCACATGGCGGAAAGCGTCAAGAAATACGAATTTATAAGTTTTTTGAGAGCGTGCCGAAGCGATTCAGCGCTATTTGGTGACTGAACCCGCTCACCCGACACAAGCCGGCTTAATTATCAGCTTCACTTGTACTTTCAACCGAACGCGTCAGCGAGAAAACAAAGGCGACACTGACAAAAAAAACAACCAAGTTCCGTTCGTTCTTTTAAATCAAAAACTAGTATACCCTTTCGCCCTTTGGGTACAGGGTATGAAAATAGTTTCTTAAAATGCAATCATTTCATTTGCATGCACATATCAATAATAAAGTAAAAAATACAAAATGTTAAAGTTCTAGCAATTATCAAATAATATCCTAAAGACTAAGAATTCTTCCCAGCATAGAAACAAAAGTCTTTCATTCTCATAAAAAATAATTTCTTAAAATGCAATCATTTCATTTGCATGCTCATATCAATAATAAAGTCTTGCTACAAAATGTTAAATATTCCCAGTTCTAGCAATTATCAAATAATATCCTAAAGACTAAGAATTCTTCCCAGCATAGAAACAAAAATCTCTCTTTCTCATTGGAATAAATTGCTATTACTATCAAAGAAAAAGTTCAGTTTTTATATTTAAAAAAAAAATAAATAAAACGAAAATAGTTGTATCATTAATTTCTTTTATGTATTATTTACTAAACCAATTAATTGACTGAAGACTTACAGACTTTTTGCAGCTATGAACTGTTAGAAGATTCTTCCAGGCAAGATTCTTCCAAGCCTGTCTAGAAAGATGACAAATGAAATGAAAAAGAGGTAAATCCTTTCAAATTTTGAAAATGTAAAAAATTATCAGAAAATTTGTTGAGACATCTGCACTGAATGGATTCATATTCAAGTGATATTTTGGTTGAATTCAAAAATTAACACTCTTTCTCTCTAATACTTAGAAGCTCTGCTACAAGCATAGTTTTGAGAAATCAATTGGAAATTAAAATTTGTTACTCACGTACATATTCAATTCCATATAACTCTTAGGATTTTAGTTGAGTTTTAGTTTTTACACTTCCAGCTCAACAGACTTTTAATTTTTCATTTAATTTTCTCCGAGTGCATAACCCAAAACTGATATTTAGATTCACGCTGAGTTGTCCCTAGCTGAGTGGCTACCCTGCTGATATGCTGCTATGCTGATAAGGTGCGGGCCTAGATAAGAGAGCAGCGTTATATTCTTGTTGTTGTTATCAGTGGATTTGTTGCCTGATTTGAGGTTTGTTGTCGTTCAAATTTAAAAACAAAATAATGCGTCGTCTTCTATGCTGACGGCAATATTGCTGTTGCCGCACATTGTCTGATCATCAATCAATCAATCAATCAATCAATTGAATCATCTTTGTCTTGCATTCCAGCAGCTCGCCTGATCCCAGGCAGTCGGTTTCTGCAGTCGCTGCCAGACGATGCCAGTCAAGTGGTCAAGTGGCGAAGCGGTTGCTGCCCTTTTAGGGCTCGCTCGATTCTTGCGAAAGCAATAAAAATATGTTGCACATTTAAATGTGCCCCAAGTGCACTCACATATCAGCACAAATGTTGCCGATCACTTGATTGGCTACACTAGGCATTAATTGAGTGCTTTTCTAAACGCATATCTGCACATCATTTTAATCCACACACGAATATTGAGACATTCTTTTAAACTAACTTTTATAACAATTGTTGTCCAATCGAGAACATTTTTGGCATCAAGATATTTTTATAGTTTGAAGGGGCGAATCGGAACATACTGAGATATGGAAATCCAAATCTTAAACTTTATTGGAATCTGAAATCTGAATTCATGTTTCTTGGAAACCTTTTTCTTTACTTTTTTTAAACCAATTGTCATCAAGAAATGATTAACATAAATTGACAAAATAAATTTGATATTCCGCGTGATCGTGAATATTCCAAGGGAATCTTTACATTAGAACGCATTCAAATCAAGAATTTATGCTGAACATTTTTAAGACACACATATAGTTGTTTCTGTGAAAATTTAAGCCTCAAGTTGGCAATAAAACCAAGCACAGCTAATCATCTTAATTATATTATTTATTTTTTGAAGGATTGTAAAATAGTTCCCCAGCTGTATACATTATCAGATAAGTAAGAATCTATAAAATTCTTTTTCTCCTTTTTACTAAAATAGAAACATATATACTTGTATAAGGAAAACCCAACAGAAAACAAATCAATTGTGTAAACAAATAAAAACAAATAAAAAATAGAAAAAATACTGATCCAGCCACACATCTTTAATAATTAAATACCTTCACAAAGCTCAAATTTATGATAAAATTAATAAATTAACATCTTACTTTTTAAGTTATGCCGCTACTTAATATAAATATTACTTGTACATAACAGATATTGTTTAAGTACATTTCTTTAATTCATACTTCATGCATATGCATCCCGTTCCTTTTTTAATTACTTATAAGTACATACTCATTCATTGATTGTAATAGCTTAGGATCCTGGTAGTCATAGCTATTGAAACCCTGTTAGCTGTAAGTTTTAAGCTAGCATTAATAAATAAATAAATAAAAAAAGAAAAATATGACACCTAACTATTAGTAAATTGTAGCGTACTTTGTTGTGGCAAACATTACTCTTGAATATATGTATATTATATTCTAAGTAGTTTTAATTGAAATGAATTTGAAACTTGTAATATATCTGATAGATATGCGAGCAAATAATTTGCCCGTTTGACCAAAGCTTGCAGTTAAAAATTCTCTCTCCCGACGAGAAATTGCATTATAGGAATAATTTGAATAGTAAATGGAAAATCGAAAATCTAATTACTGATATTATCAGCTTGGAGAATCCACAAGTAGTTATATCACCCATATCTTTTCTGACCAGAACAGACAGGACATTGTTTATTCTGTCTCTTTTTTTTTACAGGGTGTTGCTAAAATTTAGCTTTAGGAAACATTCCCATTATTTGAATATTGAAACATTTTAAATCAGTGCTGCTCCTATTTGTACGAGCTGGACTGTGCTTTGGTGTGCTCGCCTCCGCCTTGAATTATGCCAAATTGTGTGTATATATATATATGTGTGTGTGTGTGTGTGTGTGTAGCTTGCACTTGGCCTGGCCAAAACTATCGTTATGACGAGACACGGGGGGTGGAGTGAAGAAGAAGAAGAAGGCGGCGTTTTCCGCCTTGCCATTGACCATTTGTAGCGGCCACAATAAATTCTTCAGCCGCACCAGCGGACTTTTTTTTATGGTTGTTGGTTATATATTTTTTTTAAATTCCCAAGCGCCGCGCAGGCTGCAATAAAAATGCGCCTCACATGTGACAACGATTTGTACTTTGGCTCCTTTTATGGCACTTGCTTGTTGCCTGCTCCATTGTTGTTGTTGTTGTTGTTGCTGTACTTGTTTTTGTTGCGCTGGCATTGCATTTTTTTTAATATATATACGTATATATGTATATATATAGAGGCAAACCGCGCGCGGCCTTCCCAACGTTGAAAACTGTTTTGTGCGCCATGAAACGTGAATGCGTTTGCTTTTGTTGTAGTTGTAGTTGTTGCTCTTGCTATTGCTGTTGTTATTGTCGTCATCATCATCATCAGCAGCATCAGCATCATCGTCGTCATCATCATCATCATCATCATCGTTTTGTACGTGTCCGCGGGCTTCGCTGCCGCTTTGGTTGTACGTTTTACAAATCGCAAAATCGCATCAGATTATACATCATGCCTGCCAGGCTGACCAAAACGGTACGGCCATATGGATGTACGGCGGGGTGGGGTGGAGGAGGGGGAGTACTTGGGCAAGGTAAGGGAGCTTGGAGCGGACGAACAAGTCACACCAAAACTGAATCCGCCACCCATTTTGGGCAATAGCTTGAGCATCGTCATCCTCTGGCTGTCAACCCTTCCACCACAACCCGCCCACATGTCCCCTCTCCTCCTTTGGCTTTTGTGGGTCACTGCCGTTGTTGTTGTTGTTGCTCCTTTTTGGCTTTAATGCCTGCCTGCCTGCCTGCATTGTATTTTATAATATTCTGTCGACCATGCTCACAACATTGTTGGCCAGCTTGGCCAGCTCAGCTGCAATTGAAGCCGCGGTACGGCTCAGCGCTTAAGCATGTCTGCGTACACTCTCCGTCATATGTTTGCTGACCTTGACTGGTGGAGAATCGAATGATATTCGATCGACCTCCCTTTTCCTATTCAAATTAATTTAAATTGCATCCTGAAATTGTTGCAAATGTTACGAAACACCGAACAGGTGTGCGTGTGAAAAAAACGCATTTTATTAACAAATAATTATAAATAAATCGAAAAAATCCTGGGGGTCTACAAACAAAGTCGATGTCTGGCATGATGGGTGCCAGAGGCTTGCTAAGTAAGTAGAACTTTTAAATAATAAATATAATAGTTGTATTACATGAATGCAACAAATACATTTTGTAGGATGAATAAATGTATATACCGAATAGTCATAAGCGAACGTTAATATTTAAATCATTTTATAACATAACCTATATGACATTCTTTAAATAATAAGAGACATCTGGCAATGTAGTGTTTGAAAGAAGTTTCTTTAAAAGGTGTATTGAAAAGACTGTCTATTAAAATAAACTATATCGCTGTTGAATAGATACTGTTTATTAAAGTTACACATTCTATTGGGGCCTCCTGACACCCCCTTACCATTTCCCCCTTACAATTTAACAATTTAGTAGAAGGCAACGATTCTGAAAGAATATGTTTAGTGTTCTTTAAACATAAACGAGTTGATATCAAAGGCGACCAGGGAGGAGGTTGTAAGATTACTTGCAAGACTCGCTCAGAAGTCACGAAGGATGTTTATAACCCACTCCCAGTTGAATGTTTGTTTATTTATTTTATTTATTTATGTCAACAAACATTGACTGTCGGCATAGGAGGAAAATATATAAAAATTATAAAAAGCATCTTATAAGCAAGAAAAGCCTAAGAAGGAGAAATCAAATCAAATT